AAGTTGTGAAAAATAATCAAAATGAGTAATAAACATATAAACTAACTAACACCAAGAGTTTAACTCATGCCCTTTTGCAATCTGTCCCCCAAAAGATCATCAAGTGATGGAGTTGAGATACAGACGTATGTGGATGTCTGTCTTGTCACCTGGAAGTTATTTGGTCACAGGGACAAGTGTAACAACAGCTCGGGGTACATAATAGTAGAACTTATGTTCAAGAATTTCGGATGTTTTAAAGGAGGCCAGAGTCAGTACTGGGTAAACTGTGATGTCAGGAGGACCCTAGTGGAGAGCTTCCGGGGATGTAAGAGAACATTAGCGGGAAATGCTTAGCAAATTAGGTCCATGACAAAGGGGAAAGAGTCAGGACTAGTGTAGTGGAAGTGTGGACCAAACTACCCATTTTCCAGTCGGTAATGAATGTGAATCTAGTAGTCTGGTTTTTCATCTGCTCTTTGTTGAATGCCAGCTGTGAATCTGTATACTCATAGTTTCTTTGAAAGTCTTCATCAGGGAAGACTTATCTTTGTTCTTCAACTGACTTGTTTATTAAACTATTTCTTTATATGTTAATATTATGATGAAACTTGTGTTTTAGTTTGTTATCTGATATTTTACCATTTATCCCTCTCCTTTTGCTCAAATTATAAAACTGTGGAAAACAACTGCCCTTTCTTTTTTTAACACTTTCATTTATTTTATGGTATATTATTTTCTTTTGAGACTGGCCTGAACATCATTACCTTGCCCCAGCCTCACAGGTGTGGGATTAGAGGAACCACTGCCATGGCCGGCAGTGGCAGCCCTTACAGTCAGGTCTCAGTGCATTTTGATATGCTCCTATGATTTGGGTTTGTATTTCCTGAAATCCTGTGCTTTTCCACTTATCTTTTACATTTCCACCTTCCTTGGGTTCTAGTCTCTTACATAGATTCTTGTTCTTTGAACCAGCCAGTTCATCATACATCTCTATTTCTTTTTATTGTAAGGGGGTATTAATGACCAATCGCTGTGCTTGCTAGTCTTCATTTGTGGAAAGAACAAAGGAGTGTGCATGGGGTATGGACATGGTACTACAAATTTTATTGATCCTGAATATTTATAAGAAGCTTAAGATGAATTGAAGCCCATTTCCCTGAAATTATTGCATTGCTTTATGGAAAATTTGGCCTCTGATGCTTTATTATCCATACCACTGCCTATTATAAAAATTCTTCCTCCTCATTTACCATGCTTTTAGTTTCTCAGTTCCTGTGAAAGATTCAAAGGTGTCGATTTGCTAAAATTCTTCTTGGTGAGCAAAAACTTAGTTCATGATCACATAATGCATAATAAGTTCAGCTTTTGTCTTTATCCTTACTTCTTTATATCTAAAGTTACTTAAATCATAAGTTTCACATAACATTCAATGAAGATTTCACATACATATATGGATAGTTGTGTGTGTGTGTGTGTGTGTGTGCATACATGTGTTTACAACAAATTTATATTCCATCTCTATATCCCTGATATTAATGATATCTTAAAACTGGTTTGAAATGTCTTTTACATTGCTTCTGTTCTATTCGTTAATTTTTTTGTATCTAAGAATGAATTCTCTTTGCAATTGTTTCTTGTTGCCTTGAGATACTTGAATCCGACTATGTTTGGATATGGCATATTCTCTAAATACTAAGCAGAGTGAGATGACTGCCAATGATCTTCAGCGTCTCTACCCGATTCCTCATCGTATGCTTCCTTGGTTTACCAATAACTGGCAGAGGAGAGTGGAGCTCTCCATTACCACTATGAACTTCTCCATGCCATTCGCCAGGATTGGTCTTACATGTTTTGACACTGTCACTGGGGCACACTTGTTTGAGAATATGATGTTCTTTTGGAGAATTGACACTTTTGTGACTTTGTAATGTTTATCTTTCCTACTGGCCATTTCTTGATCTAACATCTGCTTGATTTGTAATTAATACACCTACTACAACTTTCTTTGGAGTGAGCCTTTCTTAAATCTCTTTTTTAAACAACAACAACAACAACAAAAACAGTCATTGTGTTGAATATGAATGCCTTGCATACCAATTATAACTTGTTTTCATAATCCACCCTGAACACTAGTGGTTTATTGGGAGTACCTATATTGTACCCATTTTAAAGATGTTTTATAATCTGATCCATGTGACCCATAGTCACCAACAAATGTTTTCTTCTCACTCCATGTTTTCTTTGTTTCTGATTACACCAATTTGACCCTTTGATTATACCAATTTTTTTCTTGTTTTTACATTTATTTATGTTATGTTATGTTATGTTATATTATGTTATGTTAGAGTGTTTTATACTCATGTATGTCTGTGTATCCTGTATGTTCTGGAACTGAAATTATGGATGGTTGTGAACTACCATGAGGGTGCTGGGAATTGAACCCAAGTCCTTTGGAAGAACAGAGCTTTTAACTACTGACCATCTCTCTAGTCCATGATCTTCTAATCTTAATTGAACATTTTATGTGATTCCATTATTGTCATTCTTAGAATATTGGTTGCGCTATTTTAAAATACCTTTTTGTGATTTCCCTAGAATTTCTGTGGTAGTTTGAATGAAAATGTTTCAATCCGAGTTAGTGGAACTGTTTGAGACGGATTATGATATGTGGCTTTATTAGGACATGTGTCCCTGTTGGATAAGGTGTGTCACTGGAGTGGGCTATGATGTTGATAAAGCCCACAACATGCCAAGTCTCTGTCTCTTTGTGTGTGTTTTTTCTCTGTCTCTTCTACTTTCAACCTGAAGATTAAAATGTAAAGCTCTCTCCTCCAGAACCATGCCTGCCTGCCTGCCACTATGATCTCAACTATGATGACTGGAAGAATATGGGACTAAGCCTCTGAAACTGTAAGCAAGCCCCAGATTGAATATTTTCTCTTAGGAATTGTCTCGGTCATGGTGTCTCCTCACAACAATAGACACTTTCCAATCAATATGCATGTTTACCTCCTTAAGTCCACCATCCAGGAGCAGTGCATCACTTAATTTGTAGTGATGATGATCCCTCCTAGCATAGCATTCCTAACTACTCTATGTTCCTGATTCTCATTTCACTAATTCACAAGCTACAACCACACTACATGTTGTTATGTCACTCATCATTTAGAAAACAAAAAGATATAAAGTATAAAAGAAGCCAAATTTCTCAATGCGTTCCTTGACTGACTTTACGGAAATCCAACTTTCTGATTTGCATTATTTTGTTTCCCGTCTCTTAAGAGTTTCCCAGGACAGGTTTCTAGAGACATTTATTTCAAATTCTTTCATTTACTCCTCAATGACAGATTTCCTGGATGTCTAAGTGTAGGCAGGTTGGGATATATTTTCCCTCTCAATGGGCATTTGGAATAGTTCAGTCCACTCTGTTTCTCTGCATGGAGTCCCGAGAGAAAGCAAAAGTAACCCAACCACTGACTGGCTCAGGTCAGTGCAGCTCATTTGACTCAGAAAAGAAAGACAGAGAGGAAATAGTTGCCTTTCATGGAATTTTAGTTTTTAAACTGGCAATAAGTTACCTAGGGTCTGTAGAGATTCCTTGAATTTAGTACAATTTTTGCATTTGCCCTAGCTATTATTTTACTGAAGTAAGGCATGAGAAGAACAACCCACAGATATGAAAGCAAACATCATCTGTATTTTACAAAGGAAACACACACTTGTAGGTCTACAGAGCAAAGCCATTCATGTGCTCACCACCATGACCAAAAATGTACTGAAAATGACTGGCACTGTTCAACCTGGCTGGTCATTGACTTTGAGGGTCCCCACGGTAGTATTTGGGTCATCATACATGTCTCTTTTTTAAAATATCAGGGCACAGGATTCGACTCCATCTTGTTGTTCACAAGGAGACACTCCTAGGTTTGAGACTGTATGTTTTCCTTGAGCCCCGTCGGCGCTGGGTGTTTTTCAGGCAGAGTGTATCAGCAGTGAATGAATAAATAAATCCCTCCACATCTCAGCAACTCTGACATGATGGAACTGTAGCTATCATCCAGAACTGAGCCCCCATTCACATGCGGGGAGGTGGAAAAGACCCACAAAACCCAGTTAATTGCAGGGCAAAGAGTTGTGCTTAGCAGCTGAATGGAATTCCTTCCCATTTTCAGATACTCGATAATACATAGGGTATTTTCTGAACCATCGGGCTCAGTTTAAAAAACCATCCAGTTCAGGAACTCCACCATCCCCTTGGTTACTGTGACTCCTTTCCCAAATCCTTGCCTCTCCCTACTATCAAGTCCTTGAGCAAACACATGAAGTCCACCCTGAGTGTGTTGGCATCTCCTCCACTCAGCACTCTGCACAATAGCCTCTTTGACAAGGAGGCCCAGGGCCACTACTTTTCAATACATTGTAATTTAGCATCGTTGTTATCTCTTGCAATTTTCCTGACACGCTGCAAACTACAGCTACACCGTGATGCTCTCTAATCAAAATAATCCCAAACCTAAACGGAAATGTGAATCATAATCAGTGCTTAAGCATATGATGTACATTTCAGGAACATGATGGAGAGGTTTCCAGGTACTTACTACAATGCTCTGTGCTTGGAACTCAGTATGCCAATAATGACTGAATATTCTATTGCAGCATAGACATTTTCAAGAAAAAAAAAAAGCACAGCTCCAGGTCTAAAGGGATAAGCTAACCCCTTGCCCCACAGACACACAAGATCTGAGAAACTGTATGTGTTTCTCCGCACGTTCCAGGCTGCACATATGGGGAACACACACGGGGGGGGGGGGGGGGGGAGAGACAGAGGAGCAGACAGACAGACAGAGACAGAGACCAAGGCAAATAGAGACACAGAGAGAAAGAGAAACTGAGAATGCTCCAGAATAGTGAGGGGAGTGTCAGTGTTCAAGACGAGAGTGAGGGCACGTGACTCTGATCAAGCCAACTTTGTATCAAACAAGGAGGGCTGGGCTAGTCACTCCCCTCCACTCCATCTCCTGCAATCCTGCTCCTGTGCCTTGGACTCAGCACTCGGTAGGGGGGCTGTGGTCGCAGGATCTCTTCTCTCTGCTCTTGTCCAGAAGCAATCTGCTGTCATGAGCAGCCACTCACCCCCTGCATCCAAAGGGAACGACAGCAAGAGGTTCAAGAGGGACGGCAGGAGCACCGAGGGCTCGTCGAGAGTGATCCACATCTACAGACTGCCAAGCGGTGTCACCGAAAGAGAGGTTCTCTCTCTGGCGCTGCCGTTCGGGAAGGTGTCCAACCTACTGTTTCTGAAGGAGAAGAACCAGGCCTTCATGGAGATGAACACAGAGGAGGCCGCCAACACCATGGTCAGCTACTACACCTGTGTGACTCCTGAGCTGCACGGGCAGCCGGTCCACATCCAGTTGTCCTGCTACAAAGAGCTCAAGGTGAGAAGATCCCGCAGCAAGGAGGGTGCCTCTAGCCAGGAGGGTGAGCCCAGGCAGGCAGGTGCCTCCGGCCAGGTGGGTGCCCAGCCAGGCCTGCCAGCTGAGAGCTCAGACCAGGCAGGAAATGTGGGCTCGGCCTCCGCAGCCGCTGCTGTGGACACAGGGAGAGTGGTGGCCAGGCGCACCCCTGTGCTCAGGATCCTTGTGGAGAACTGCTTCTGTCTCGTGACCTTGGAAGTGCTGCACAGGCTCTTCTCCAGGTTTGGCACAGTTCTGAAAATCATCACATACATTAAGAACAACCGGTTCCAGGTGCTGTTGCAGTATGCGGACCCGCTGAGTGCCCAGCGTGCCAAGCTGTTCTTGGATGGGCAGAACATCTACGACGCCTGCTGCACACTGCGCATCACCTTCTCTGGCTTCACTAACCTCACAGTCAAGTACAACAACGACAAGAGCCGCGACTACACGCGCCCAGACCTGCCCTCCGGGAACAGCCAGGCCTTGCTAGCCCAGAACAGAGCCACAGCCCTCGGTGCCCCCGTCGCCATCTCAGCTTCTTCCTGTGCAAGCACTGGATGGCCTCACACCTTTGCAGTCCCTCAAGCTGCAGGCTTTGCCTATGTTCCAGAGGTGTGCAGGGCCCCGGCGCCCCTGGCCGTGCCAGAAGTGGCTGTGGCAGCGGCGGCAGCAGCTGGAGCAGAGAGCCAAGTCATCACCTCAGGCTCCCCGGCTCTGGCGAACGCTGTCCTCCTCGTTGCCAACCTCAACCCTGAGAAAGTCACTCCCCAAAGCCTCTTCATTCTGTTCGGCGCCTATGGCAATGTGCAGCGGGTGAAGATCCTGTACAAGAAGAAGGAGAACGCGCTGGTGCAGATGGCCAATGGGAGCCAGGCTGAGCTGGCCTTGAGGCACCTGAACGGGCACAAGCTGCATGGCAAGTCTCTCTGCATCGTGCTGTCCAAGCACCAGAGCGTGAAGCTGCCCCGGGAGGGCAAGGAGGACCAGGACCTCACCAAGGACTATGTCAACTCGCCACTGCACCGCTTCAGGAAGCCCGGATCCAAGAACTTCCAGAACATCTTTCCGCCCACTGCCACGCTGCACCTCTCCAACCTGCCCACCTCGGTCTTGGAGGAAGACCTCAAGAAGCTCTTCTCCAGTGGCGGGGGTTCTGTCAAGGCTTTCAAGTTCTTCCCAAAGGACCACAAGATGGCGCTGATCCGAATGGGCTCGGTGGAGGAGGCCATACAGGCTCTGGTGGAGCTGCATGGTTATGCCCTAGGCCAGAGCAACCACCTGCGAGTCTCCTTCTCCAGGATCACCATCTAGAGGACCCTGCTGGGCTCACTGCAGACAGCTTCCACCACTCGAGGAAAGGACACTTGAAAGGCCACTGGAGTGACCTTAACACTTGCTACTGGAGAGAGAGA